CTCACCCTCTCTCTCTGTCCCTCTGCCTTTCAAATAGATAAATAGATAAATAGATAAATCTTTTTTTTTTTTTTTTGACAGGCAGAGTGGACAGTGAGAGAGAGAGAGAGAGACAGAGAGAAAGGTCTTCCTTTGCCGTTGGTTCACCCTCCAATGGCCGCCGCGGCCAGTGCATCACGCTGATCCGAAGTCAGGAGCCAGGTGCTTCTCCTGGTCTCCCATGCGGGTGCAGGGCCCAAGCACTTGGGCCATCCTCCACTGCACTCCCTGGCCACAGCAGAGAGCTGGCCTGGAAGAGGGGCAACCGGGACAGAATCCGACGCCCCGACTGGGACTAGAACCCGGTGTGCTGGTGCCGCAAGGCAGAGGATTAGCCTATTGAGCCGCGGCGCCAGCAGATAAATAGATAAATCTTTAAAATAGAATACAATAGATGGAACACATGCATGTTTAACAAAGATAAAAAGGAAGAAACACAGTATATCCTATGCAGAAATATACAGGAACAATACAGTCAGACACAGATCATGCTACCTCCAGACTAGCAGTTACATCATCCTGATTGGCAGTTGCATCATCCTGAAGTCAGTCAGCCATTACAACCCATTATGCTATGGGCCCAGGTTTACAAGATGGCTTCAAAAAATCTCCAGAAAATGCACATTATGAAAAAATTATGCAAGGCTTTCATAAAAATTTTTGCCCCAAAATAAACTTATCCTTTCAATACATAACTTTTTTTAAGATATGTATTTATTTATTTGAAAGGCAGAGCATTACAGAGAGACAGAGCAGAGAGAGAGTCTTCCATCCACTGGTTCACTCTTTAAATGGCCTCAATAGCCAGAGCTGGGCCAATCCGAATCCAGGAGCCAGGGGCTTCTGCCAGGTCTCCCACGCCACAGTGCCAGCCCATCAGGTCATAATTTTTTGCAAGCCCCTTATATTCAGCCTAGAAAACAAGATAAAAAGCCTGGCTTCTCATAGGTCACTGGTAAGCCACCGCTGCTATGGCACACAGGTTCCAGTCTCTCCAAAAGAACAAGCGTGTGCCAGCCACAGGCACCTCTCACCTGCTGGGCACCCTGTTTAACTCAGATCCCTGTAATGGCGCAGCTGGCAGCCAAGGCTGCCGCAAGCAGAGAGAGCAGGCAAGATGGGACCTGTGCTCATAACCACATGGCCCTGGGCTTCGGTACAGCCATCCGTCCCTCTGGAGGGCAGGTGAGTGCTAACTTCAAATCTCTCCCTCCGTTTCTTGCCGCATGTTCTGAGCTAGTGTAACAAACCATATGAAACTGAGCAACTCAGCTTGGTCTGCCAATCTCTTTACTGCTCGACCACTGGCTCAGCCCGGCAGGCCACATCCTCAGAAGCCACCCTGCGTTGCAGCAACCCCACTGCATGGAGTTCTGTGCAGCACCCTCTGGGCTTCCGCAGTGCTGCTCTGCTTGGCAAACCAATTCCTCCTCCTTCACCTAATGTCTGCTCTCCCTTAAAACTGAGCGAGCACCTGCCTGAGAAGTCCCGCCTGGCCCCATCCCACTTAGACAGGACTCTCCACTACTCCCCACCCCTGCCTTCCACGGCACTTAGCACAGAGAAATGTAACTGCTCCTTTACTTAGCTCTCCGCTCTCCCACACTAGCAGCTGCTGAAAGACAGGGACCTCCATCTCTAACGCATCTTCCTTCTCCATCCGGCACACTCCTGCAGCCCCGGCGCACAGACGCACGTATCACAGGCACGCAGTACACCTTGGAAGAGAGGAAGGTGTGGCGTTGCAGCCGGCTGATCTGCCATCTGGGATACCTGCATCGCACATCACAGAGCCTGGAATCGAGTCCCACCTCTGTTTCCAATCCAGCTTCCTGCTAACATGCCTGGGAGGCGGCAGATGATGGCCCACGTACTTGGCTTCCTGTCACCCATGTGGGAGACTGGCATGGAGTTCCTGGCTACTGGCTTCTGCCTGGCCCAGCCCCAGGAGCTGCAAGTATTTAGGGAGTGAACCAGTGGATTAAAGATATCTTTCAAATAAATAAATAAAACTTTAAAAAATAAATAAACCCTGGATGGGTGAATTAATGCCTTGATAGGTAGGGCACAGGGAATATAAGCAAATTGTCTGCAGGGGAAGAGCTATGTAAGTTTTTCAGGTCATCAATTCTTCCTAAGTCCTCACTAAACAGGGCTGCTAATATATGGACAGAAGATATTAAAAATTGAGCTGACTCTGCCATCACCTGTCAGCATTTATGATTGCACCTTGCAAAATAACTGCGACAGATGTTCAATAAATGTGTTCATAAATGAATGACTGAGTGAATATATGACCATGTGAATGTTACATTTTTTTAAACCGCATTCCTCAGATTCAATTATTTATTGTTGAAGAGTCTGTAGAATGACCACAAATCACAGCCCTCTCAGATATCCAAAATTCAAAAAGATACCACTTAAACATCTGGCAGAGTTGCACAGTCCTTCAAATGTGAGAGAATGTACGATCCCATCACATTCCAAGCATTTCTATGTCGTATCCTAGGCTGCTATCAAATCCAAATGCCTGAAGAGTTAGGTGAAACACACACACAGGTTCATATGAGCCCCCCAAAAACACAAAACACCTTCAAGCAGTCAACCGAAACGGTACAAGCGACAAGAACAGCCCCTTTTTAAGTGAATAGCTCAATTTATAAAACAGAGCCCAGTATAACAGCCAGGGAGATCGGAATGGTTCTAGAAGTCTCTGGCTCCTGACCACAGGATTCATCAGACTCTTGAATCCTAAGTAAAATGCATTAAAGAGTCAGTGTTGTGGGTGCAGGTAAAGCCACTGCCTGCCACACTGGCATCCCATATGCACACCATTTCATCTCTCAGTGCAGCACTTCCGATCCAGCTCCCTGCTAACAGCCTGGGAAAAGCAGCAGAAAATGGCTCAAGTGTTTAGGCCCCTGCACCCTCAGCCTGGCCCAGCACTGGCCATTACAGCCATTTAGAGAGTGAACCAGCGAATGGAAGATCTCTCAATCTCTCAATCCCCCACCACCACCCCGTCCTCATAACTCTGACTTTCAAATAAGTAAGTGTTTTTTTTTTTTTAAATTAATTTAGGGGCCGGCGCTGTGGCATAGTGGGTAAAGCCGCCACCTGCAGTGCCAACATCCCATATGGGTACCAGTTCAAGTCCCAGCTGCTCCACTTCCGATCCAGCTCTCTGCTATGGCCTGGGAAAACAGTAGAAGATGGCCCAAGTCCTTGGGCCCCTGCACCCTTGTGGGAGACCCAGAAGAAACACCTGGCTCCTGCCTTCAGATTGGCACAGCTCCAGTTGTCGTAGCCAACTGGGGAGTGAACCAGCAGATGGAAGACCTCTCTCTCTCTCTCTCTCTCTCTCTCTCTCTCTCTACCTTGCCTTCTCTCTCTGTGTAACCCTAACTTCCAAATAAATAAATAAATTTAAAAAAAAAATAATTCAGTAAAATGAGTCAGGTATACTCTTTCCACCATAGAAAAGTAATTACCAAGGAGCCACCACTCAGTGGGAAATTCTTCATTAAATCCGCCTTAGAAGGTGAGCAAGATGGTAACTGCAGCAGACACGCTAAATATTTTTATCAGGAAGAAACATCTACCCTTTCCTCCTCCCTTGAATGAACAGAACCCACAGATTCTGCTGAACCCACGGCTGCCCAGCCAGGGAGCAGCCAAGTGGTTAAGGAGCAGAAGCGGCGTGGGAAATTCCTGGGTCACAATTTTAAAAAAAGGAGGCTGCCTTCTGGCCTCGCCTGCTCCGAGGACTGCGGTGAGGACGGCAATGGCAGTGGGGGAGGGGGGGAGTGGGGGAGCCACCCTCGCCCATGACACGGAACCACCACTAGGATGGCAGAGGGGAGAGCGCAGGGCAACGGAGAAGAGGAGACTGGGCCCCTGGGTGGCCCTGTAGAGCACAGCCAGCTCCCTGCGAGAAACCAGCCCCCCCACTCGGCAGAGCCGCGGCAGCTCCCAGCTCCGAGTGGCCGTGTCAGGGCCGCTCAGCAGTGAGAGGCAGAACCAGCAGGCTCGTGAGTCCTGCGGACTCTGCACCTCGCGAAAAAGCTATGCAGGGATTTCGCAGCTTCTGCACCAAAATGAACTTACCTTTCCTTTCTGTTCTTTCTTCAATATTTAATTTATTTATTTGAAAGGCAGAGCAGCAGAAAAAGAGGAAGAGACATAAACAAAGTGAGTTCGCTCCCCCCAGTGGCTGCAGCAGCCAGGGTGGGCCAGGTTGAAGCCAGGAGCCTAGAACTCCATCAGGGTCTCCCACATGGGTGGCAGGGCCCCAAACTTGGGCCATCCTGCCAGGCACATCAGCAGGGAGCTGAATCAGAAGCAGAGCAGCTGGGACTCAAACTGGCCCTGCAACAGGGGATGCCGGTGTCACAAGCAGCCGCTTAATCTGCGGTGCCAAAGCCATAGCCCCTAAATTTACCTGTTAATTTAATTGTTCCGTAATTTTTTTAAGTACCCCGGTGGTGTTTTATGTCACCCAAAAGGCTCAGGGAACCACCAAGGTCAGGATGAGCACTTGTAAAGAAATAAACATATGGGGGCTGGCAGTGTTGCGTCCAAAGCTAAGCCTCCGCCTGTGGTGCCAGCATCCCATATGGGCACCTTTTAGTGTCCTGGCTGCTCATCTTCCAACCCAGCTCTCTCCAATGCCTGGGAAAGCAGTAGAAGAAGGCCCAAGTCCTTGGGTCCCTGCACCTGTGTGGGAGACCCGGAAGAAGCTCCTGGCTGCTGGCTGCAGATCAGCCCAGTTCCAGCTGTTGCGGTCATTTGGGGAGTGAACGAGCGGATGGAAGACCGTCTCTCTCTGTCTCTCTCTCTCTCTCTGTCTGTAACTCTAACTCAAATAAATAAATCTTTAAAAAATAAATAAATAAATAAACAAAGCCACAGGGGTTTTCTTAAAGACACACACTCCTTTCCCGGGGAAAGGCGTTACTTACAGTTTCAGCAGAGGAAGGCGGCCTCTGTAAGCTCTCACCTCGGACCCAAATGCTCTCGGTCACAAACGCTATGTGTTCTGCCTCCAGTATAAAAGGAGAAACCAGAAACAGGGCCCATTTGTTCAAGTCATCAATGAACTGGGTAAAGAAAGAAACAAAAGAGGACACAGGCACTTAGCTCAGCATCTCCAGAACCCTCCCCAAGCGACCCCAGGAAAGACCCAAGCAAGGTTATCTGAAGCTCTCCCACAGCCCGCATCCACCCAGTGCTTCTGGGTTAACTGCGACCGTGTACACAGCTACAGAAGCCTCAGTGACTCAGGACAGTCTCAACAGCTCTGGATCCCACACAGGCTACCAGCACTCATCTAAAAAGCTTGCAACCAGAAGGGTGGCAGGACTCACTGGGGTCTTGGAATATCTGCATAAATATGATGAGATACCTTGGGAAGGCAACTCAAGGGTAAACGTAAAATCATTTATGTTTCATAGACACCTTACATATCTGCAATTTGAAGGTAATTCTATAAAATATTTTTAGTGTCTCCATGGTTTTATTTTTGCTTTTTGTTTTTTTTTTATTTGACAGGTAGAGTTATAGACAGTGAGAGAGAGAGACAGAAAGAAAGGTCTTCCTTCCATTGGTTCACTCCCCAAATAGCCACTATGACTGGCGCTAGGCCGATCCGAAGCCAGGAACCAGGTGCCTCCTCCTGGTCTCCCATGTGGGTGCAGGGGCCCAAGCACTTGGGCCATCCTCCACTGCCCTCCCAGGCCACAGCAGAGAGCTGGACTGGAAGAGGAGCAACCAGGATTGATTAGAACCGGTGCCCATATGGGACGCTGGCGCCACAGGCGGAGGATTAATTACGTGAGCCACGGCACTGGCCCCATCTTTTTGCTTTTTAAAATTTGTATTTATTCGAACTCAAATAAGGTCACCAATTACTTGAGCCAGCACCTGCTGCCTCCCAGGGTGTGTATTAGCAGAAAGCTGGACTCAGGAGCACAGCCAAGACGCAAATGCAGGCACTCTGAAGTGGGACAAAGACATCTTAACCACTAGGCCAAATGCCTACCCCAAGAGTGATGTTAACTTAGGTTTTTTCAAAGCAGATTAGAACCAAGGTGGTTTAGCAGATTAAATACAACTGGCAGGCCGGCATCGTGGCTCACTAGGCTAATCCTCCGCCTAGCGGCGCCAGCACACCGGGTTCTAGTCCCGGTCGGGGCGCCGGATTCTGTCCCGGTTGCCCCTCTTCCAGGCCAGCTCTCTGCTGTGGCCCAGGAGTGCAGTGGAGGCTGGCCCAAGTGCTTGGGCCCTGCACCCCATGGGAGACCAGGAGAAGCACCTGGCTCCTGCCTTTGGATCGGTGCGGCGTGCCAGCTGCGGCAGCCATTGGAGGGTGAACCAACGGCAAAATGAAGACCTTTCTCTCTGTCTCTCTCTCTCACTGTCCACTCTGCCTGTAAAAAAAAAAAAAAAATACAACTGGCAATCCCTCCATGAGGGCTCCCTAGCCCTGGATCCACCAACCTCAGATGGAAAACACCCAGAAAAGTACCACATCTGTTCTGAACAAATAAACTTGGTTTTTGTCATTATTCCCTAAATTATACAGTACGCTGTTTAACAGCATTTAAATTTAAATAATCTAGAGATTATTTAAAGTATGTGGGAGGTGTGCATAGATGACACACACACTGAGTATGTATTTTACATAAAGGACTTGAGCATTTGAGAATCTTTGTGTCCATGAAGCCTCCTGAACCAGTCTCTGCAGACTGCAAAGGCCAACTCCATCCATTTCTCTGTTCTCCTTCCTGAAATCTTGCTGAAAAGACAGCTACCCACCAAAGAATAGAAAGGTATTTGGGTCAGGCCCCACTGTGTCATCAGCCCAAATCTGCCCTTGCCTATTGAACTGGCACATCTCAAGGCTTAGTAAGTCCCTGTGGAACTAATTAACAGCATGGAAGTTTTACCAACACCGTAGTTAAAAACAAAGAAAAATACTGTCCATTTTACTGAAACACAGAATGCATATACTAAACAAGCAAAATGTTTAAAATTTCCAGTTTGTATACAGTTTGATTATACTTGGGGCTGGCACTGTGGCACAGCAGGTAAAGCAGCCACCTGCAGTGCCAGCAACTCATAAGGACACCCGTTTGAGTCCCGCCTGCTCCACTTCTGACCCAGCTCTCTGCTATGGCCTGAGAAAGCAGTGGAAGATGGCTCAAGTGCTTGAGCCCCAGCATCCTTGTGGATGACCCAGAAGAAGCTCCTGGCTCCCAGCTTCAGATCACCCAGCTCTGACCATTGCGGCCATTTGGAGTGAACCAGCGGATGAAGACCTTTCTCCCTTTCTCTCTCTCTCTCTCTCTCTCCTCTGCCTCTCTGTAATTCTGCCTTTCAAATAAATAAATCTTTAAAAAACTAACTGAAATATTATATTTAACAATTCATGATGGGACATTCAATCATAAAAACCAAGACATTTGGTATTCATGTGTATGATTTTAATTGTATAGAATATGACTGTGTCTCTGCCTCATTTTCCAATTAACAAAATTAACACAAAAAGTGGGAGAACTGGACTGAATTCCCAGCTCCCTGCTTCAGCCCAGCCTAGCCCAAGACATTATGGGCATTTAGAGAGTGAACCAGCAGACAGAAGCTCTCTCACTACCTCTCAAATAAAAACAATTAATATTAAGCATGAATTTGGTTCTGTATTCAGCCCTTGTAGACAATAAGGTATCCACAGAACCAAATCATCAGCCCAACAATATTTTAAATCTTAAAAAACATCAGTTAATCACAAATAAATTGTCAAACTTTCCAACTGTAGGCCTTAAACATCTGAACTAGGTTCTGGCACAGTGGGTTAAACCACTGCCTGCAACGTTGGCATCCCACATGAGCACCAGTTCAAGTCCCAGCTGCCCCATTTCTGATCCAGCTCCCTGCTAAGGCGCCTGGGAAAGCAGAAGATGGTCCAAGTGTTTGGGCCCCCGCACCCTGTGAGAGACCCAAATGGAGTTCTAGGCTCCTGGCTCCTCAGCCTGGCCCAGCCCTGCTGTTGCAGCTATTCGAAAAGTGAAGCCGGTGATGGAAGATCTCTGCCTCTCCCTCTCTGTAACTCTGCCTTTCAAATAATACAAAATAAATCTTAAAAAAAAAAAAAAAGCCTAAACCCAACAGCCATTAAACACGCCTTCATTCACTGAAATTGTGTGCAACTATCTCAGGTCAAGCCGCAAGGCTACACAGAACAAGTCCCTAGAAAGATTCAAACTAGAAATAGGAACTATGATCTGAAGTCAATAAGGACGGAGCTGGGCAGTCCCATCTAGTCTGCAGAACTGGGGAACTCCCCCTGCACAGCCGGATCTGAGCAAAGCTTCAGCCTGAGGCAGAGGGAGAGAGCAGGGGGTTACAGAATCCCATGGGGCTGGGAAGGGACGCAAGGGCCAAAAATTAGCCTAGTTAACAGAAAAATCAATAAAATTACAAAAATGTTCAAAAGTGAAACTGGAGGTGTCAAGATGCCCACATCCAGGGGCCGGCACTGTGCGGCAGGTAAACTGCCAGCACGCAATGTCAGCATCCCATATGGGCTCCAGTTTCTGTCCCAGCTGCTCCACTTCCCACCCGGCTCCCTGCTAATGTGCCTGGGAGAGCAGTGGAAGATGGCCCGAACGCGTGGGCCCCTGCACACATGTGGGAGGCCCAGAGGAGCTTCTGGCTCCTGGCTTGGGCCTGGCCCAGTCTTGGCTGTTGAGGTCATTTGGGAAGTGAACCAGCAGACTGAAGGTCTGTTTCTTGCTCTCCCTTTGTAACTTTACATCTTTACATTAAAAAAAAAAAAAAAAAAAAAAAAAAAAAAAAAAAAAAGATGCCCAGGTACCACATCCAAATACCTGGGTTCAATACTCAGTTCCAGGGGTCAGCACCATGGCGTAGTGGGACACTAGCATCCCATATGGGCATGGGTTCAATTCCCTGCTGATGGCCTAGGGAAAGCAGTGGAAGATGGCCCAAGTGCTTGGGCCCCTGCACCGGCCCGGGAGACTGGGAAGGAGCTCCTGGCTCCAGACTCCAGCTTCCTGCCAATGCAGACCCTGGGTGGCAGTGGTGATGGCTCAAGTAATTAGGCTCCTGCCACCCAAGTGGGACACCTGGGTTGAGTTCTCAGCTCCAGCCCCACCAAGTACCAGCCACTGTGGGCATTTCAGGAGTGAACGGATTTTTTCTTTTTTTTCTCTCCTCCCAACCCCTTCAAATTCTTTAAAACTGTCCAGGACAATACAGATGATCTTCTATGTTCACCACTTCTACTTTGATCTAAACCATGAAAAATAATTTCAATCAATCCATTTTGGAAAGACCACAACAGGAAAACCCACCCCTGGTTCTTCCTCAAGTTAAATCGCCTTTCACCATCAGCTTCCTAGAAGCTGGGGGTGGGGGCGCCAGCTCTGTCTACGCAGTCCTAGGTCTGCAGGGAACCCAGAACGCAGTGGCACAGCCCGTTAGGGGCAGCTTCTACCTGCCGGGAAGAAGGCTGCACCCCGCACCTAAGACTTCATTCCCACATGCGCATGGAAATCTGCCTCCAACGCTGCACACGCGCGAGCAATCGCCAGGGACGCCCCGGGAAACGTGCACAAAACCGCGCCGCGAATGCGAGCCCCGGGCGGGCGCAGAGACAGCTGACCGGGAAGAACCATTGTTGCCGCCCAGCGCGAGGCCAGCCCCGGCCGGGCGACCGAGGGTCAGCGAACCGCGGAGGCCGGCCCGGCCCGCCACGCCGCCGGCAGGCGGGAGGGGGTCGCCGGGTGTGCAGGCCGGGTGGCCTCGGGGACCCCCGAACGCCGGTGCACCCTGCGGGAGACGCGGCCATCGGGCTGGCGCACAGCCCCCGGCGCGGCGCCCCTCAGCCCGGGCCCCGGCGCCCGCGGTCGTCCCGGTGGGGGCGGAGCGCGGGGCCCCGGCGCCCGCGGTCGTCCCGGTGAGGGCGGAGCGCGGGGCCCCGGCGCCGCTTCCGGCTCGCGGCGGCCCCACGCCGCGCGCCCGCCCCCCACGCCCGCCCGCTCGCGGGTGCGCGCGCGCCGCCCACCTGGCCCTCGCC